TAAACTTGAAAGATACTGATAAGTTTTTCAAGATTGTTTGAGTAGAGATCAACAGAAGAGTATTTAATATAGTACCAAGTTACAAATAGATGTAAGGCAAGTAGGTGCGAGTGTAGAATTAAAAGCACAGTAGTGAGTGGTGAGTGGTGAGAGCAAGAATCCCCTAAAGAGGGCAGCCTTTTGATATCTGGGGTCATATCCCTGACAAAGTCTCCCCACAGTTCACATGAAATGCTTGCTTGGGCTTCACAATCGGCTTTATAAATGTACTATACAAACTTATTTTCTCATCCTCTTACGCCAGCGGCGCACCATGAATTTGTTTCCCAGTTCTTTTTAGGACACCTGTATGCGAAAGTGCGCTAGGTTTGGACTCCTTAAGATTGTTATTCTTAAATATAAGATCGCTATAGATTTGCACCTCATCATATATAACTCTATTCGTTGCTGACTATGTCAAAACCTAAACCAATCGTCTCCTTGAGCTTTCTCTATATATACCCTCGCTTCTCCTTTCAATCCTCATTACTACACTCACAAGGTTTGCTATTCATTCTCTTCATCATGATATTCCTTTTCATATCATTTCTTCTTTGTTTGCTTTTCAACTGTATAAGTCAGATCTGTGTAGATATATAGCTGGCATTTGTTTTTTGGTATCAATAATTTCATCTTAGACATATAGTAGTGGAATATATAGATAGATATAGATATATGTAGCTATAGACTTATTATTTTTTCTCATTCATGACTTGTTTTTTGGGTTAACGTTGATGGTGGGTCTTTTTTGTATAGTTGCATCATGATTTATTCAGGTGGGTTTGTTGGCTTTACTGCTTCTCTATCGGCTTTCCTTTATACTTTAATTACTATATGAATTTGTTTTCTTTTGAGGGTTAATTAGGGTTTATGTTTATCTATATATACTGATACATGCATGGGAAGATCTCAGGACCACCAGCCAGTATTCGCGGATGCGGCATCATCAAGATTCACAAACTTTAATAAGGGCTTCATTGAGGGGATTAGTTCTCGAAAAGTTCCTTTCAAAAATGGGAATCTTGATGATGCTGCATCGGCAAATATGTGACTATTCATACTATTTTAATTCCAAATCATCCAACAGATATCTGCTCAGTTTGATCGAGTTAAGAGTATGAAGGTATTTAATCGCTGGTTAGAATTCAGAAATTGAAAAGATTGATTACATGCTCTTCATTTCTACTTAATCCTTTTGCTTCCCAACCAGTTGAAAATTGAAATTCAGTTGTTTCTGCTATTCATCTTCCCTATCCATATGCAAAACTGCTAATACCAGAGTAGGGTTTAGTTCTTTTATTTTGAGCAATAACTGTCTTAATTAATTGTATGTTTCTCTACTACGACATAATTAATTTGCTGAGAATAGAACCTATGTATTATCATGTAACATACAGAGCATCTTCTGATGTTCAATCGTTTGTCGTTCTTTATGACTGATCTTTTATGCCACTGCTGAAAACTGTCAGGATACCCCAGGCCAACTATACAATCTGAAGTTTTCCACTAAATAAAGATGTACAAGAGGTAGAACCTTCAATTAATTTTTCTACTGTTATAATCTCTCTTTGTGTATCAATATATATGTGATTGAAGATTTGATATCTAGCTTTTTTTCATATATAGACCCCGAAATCTTTCTGATCCTCTCTGGTAAGCTATAAGATTTTGTGCTTTTGTTTTTGGGATTGGTTGTCATTTGTTAGAGTTGTCAACTATTTCAGTATTAATGGGTCATGTAGGCGGTTTGAGTTTTTTCTATGTATAACCGTCGAATGATTTCTTTAAATTATTAATTCTTTATTGGGTTTGGGCTCAGAAATAAGAATTTTTGTAATACTAAGTTTTAGTTTTTTAAACCTAATACATAAACATACTTTTCTCTTGTAATGAGTGATAACAAACAATATGACAAATTCATTCATTATAAACGAGAGAGGTGAGGTAGTATTGAAATAATATTGATTGTGCTAGACGTAGCCTATTAATTAGGTGAGACATAACCTGTTAATTGTGTGAACCACGGTAAATCACACGTATTACTTTTTCTCTTTATTGTTTGTGTTTGTGTATTTTCTGTTATTTTGGTTTCGCACCTCTCTATTTCGTTCATTATTCAATCTAATTTTTCATTTTATTAGTAATCAATATGCTCAAATTCGGATATCCAGAAGAAGTGACTTAGTCGTGCATGTGGAAATTAAACAAGTCCTGATCAGAAATTTGCATGCATTAGTATTACGGTCGCAGTCGAATTAGAGGAATCTAATAGATAAGTTAACTACAGCATGCCAAAATTAATAATATTCTTGTTGAAAAACGAGTCATTGTGCATAAATTTGGTCAGTTTAATCATGCGAAGAGTACACATATATAGAACTCGTGATGCTTTACATTTAGTAATTCTGGTAGTGTGTGTGGGTCTTCAAATTATAGGTAAAACTGAAAATATTAGTTACCTAATTGGTGAATTGAATATTAACTCTGTTAGGTGAAGCCATCTAGCTAGCTTTACAGCTTCTATTAATTGATAGTTTTCCATCTAATATATTGGTACAATTAATATCTCAAACTCGGCCTATAGAATTATAAAGCAAATTAGCATCTGTTGAATCGTTTGGTGCTTCATTTCAGAGGTGTAACCAATGAAATTAACATATTAAATGATTTGTATACACATTTTCTCCATTAATAATAATAAAATTTACTTGAAGATATTAGTGGATCATATTTATATATACAGCACTTTACTTAATACATGAAATGAAGGCATCGATTTGCTGAAATAATTAGATTATGTTTGTATGTAAATTATGATTTCAATCGAATAAAATACCCAGTATAGGTTTCCAAACTGCAAGCAATTATGTAAGATGCTAAATAATATTGGACTCAATAATTAAGCACCAGAATCAGCAACTGGAAAGCTACAATCTTTTTTGTCATATGCAATAGTGGTTTTCATTTGATTATGAGATGACTAATTCAGTGGGTTATCTTAGTAAGCTAAATTATATATGGTTATCAGAGAAGAATTGCAAAGAAATACATGAAGAGCACATCTGTTAGTTGTAGTCAGTTTTCACGACATACCTGTAAGATTTTATTTCTTGTTTCGATTTTCATATATTTGAAAGGGAAACAAGCATGAAAATCAAGAGTTAACTCTAAAGTCTGGCAATTGCCAAACATGAAAATTTGTTTATAGAGCTGAATAAGATTTGCTGAAAATGTTCATAAACAGGTAAAATAAATCTGGCTTCTTGGAGAATAATACCAGTATTGGTATGACTAATGTAATGTTGTCAACCTGTGGAAAACGCAAACGTGATTCTGAGTAAATATCTTAGGCTGAAATTTGATGTTAAAAATGACGCAAAGTTTGACTCGTATTTTAATGAAGAGGAAGAGGCAGCCCCCCCTGACGATGGTTGTATGCAGCTCACATGTTTGCATGTGGGTCTCCCAATTGCTGTTATTCTCAACTCCACATGATTAAGCAAAAACTTTGGTAAGCCCCCACCGGACCCCCACCCCCCTCTTCTGTTCTTAAAAAGATGCCTTGTATTTCTATTCCTTCCAACCACAACACACCATGTGACCTGATTTTGACTCATCTACAACCTTATGTTTGACCAATCAAATATGTGGTTCCCAATTTCTACTCCTTCTTCGGCTTTGGGTATAATATTCACACCCAACTTAATAAACCCACATGTTCCAGTACACTGATTCTATTCATCACTTCATATATAATCTTAACAAGGATTCATCATGTGCCAATGAATGAGCTATTTTCTAACCCAAAATAGGTCATTAATTGTGTTCATTGGAAAAACAAAGCAATTATTGACTCAGAAGTACTGTGTGTGAACTGCTGCTGCTAATTTTTTTCTGTGAAACCGAGAATTTTGACCAGTCAAAGCACTTGTTCATAAATGATTTAATATTTCCCTACCAATTCAAACATGATATTTAATTTCTCATTTACACATAAAGCCGTTACCAAATTCATCATCTCTGCATTGCTAAGTAAACTTCAGTTGTTGTAGATTGAACTTTAATCCTGTGGGTTGGTCTTGTCCATCATACTTAATTATGAAGCTACCATTACAAATCACATGCTCACATCACCTAATTAACTATCTATTTCTATTATTAAAACTCTGGGTTGTACGTACTTCCAGATTTGTTGATCTAAATGCTTTACAATCCCATTAACCAGCGTTAATTATGCATTATAATTATAATTAACTGGGTTTAATAAACCATTAAGCATTTAAAAAGATTTGGTACACCAGTTTACACATACAATCTACCTAGGTTAACCCAAAAAAGAATCCAAAGCTTTACATAATCCATTTCAATTAGCAGCAGTTATGATAGATCCATCCATGCTTAAAAGAAGATATATAGTAATTATATTGTATGAATGCATGGCGTCTCCAACTTTATTGTAATCTCCGAGGATGAGATTTTTAAGCATATGGGATAATAATGAAGATAATGGAGTTAATGATTATGGGGTTAATTTGAGAGGGAGGGTGAAAGTAAGAAGAAGAAAGTTTCACCAAAAAGTGAAAAACATATGAATTATTAAAGGGTGTATTTTGTCGCACAATGGGCACGATCCTCATCGCAAGAGAAACAGCTAAACAACTGTCTTATCATCTCTCTCTTCAGCCTTAAAATAAGAGACTGCAATTGCACCGTACGACAAGTATGTCTCCAAAATAAATGATGGATCTCAAGGAGCTGAAGAATCAGCATAGCAAGAAATCTTTTATATGGTAAAGGGTAAATTACTCAGCTAATCACATCTTGCCACGACATCATTAACATTACGTTATCATGCAAGTGAATCAACCAGGTAAACACCACTATATGTTTTACCCTATTACACCACTATATATATATATATAACTACAATATTAAGCCCCACTTGAAGCCCAGAGAATTCCTCCGATCCGCACTCTCTATCACATCTCTTTCTTTTCTCTCTTTCACAATCACCAAACAAGTGTTGAGTTGGTTGCTAAAAGTTTTTATTTTACATGGACGAGAAGTGGAAACTTTCCAAGAAAGATTGTTCAAGCAGTCATGCATCCAGTTCTAAGTCCTCTTCATTTACAAGAAGTTTTTCAACAAAGAGTACTTCTTCAAAGTCTCCACTCCTGCAGAAAAGTTCTTCTACTAAATGCCCTCTTCCACGGAGTTTTTCAAATAAGGGTCCTTCCATTTCGCGAAAGTGTAGTAGCTTGGCCAAGGAACAAAAGGCAAGGTTTTATATTATGAGGCGCTGTGTTGCTATGCTTGTTTGTTGGCATAAACATGGTGATTCTTGAGGGACCAAGAGAGTAATTAATGTCTAGCTCTACTTGGATCGACTCTGTAGCCCTCCTCCTTCCTTCTGTGAGATGGATCGATCTTGGTGTTGTCTGAAACCACTCGTACATTTTTGTCATCCCATCAAGTCCTTAACTCTTGTTTTTCTTTCTTTTTTATTTTCTAGATTCAGATGTAATTACAATCGAGAAGAGCTACCAACTTTTACACAATGTAAGAAGAGATCATAGAGATTTAATTCAATCCAACTCTCAAACTACCAACATTTATTTTATTTACTCATCTTGGTTGTGTTTTAATCTTCACTTTTTAGATCTCAACATTATGAGCATGACCTTTTCTACTTGATTCTTTTTTTAGTTGGTTTTATAAACAATTAATTTTCTTCTTTTTTCCCATTTCAGTAAATTTTCTTCTTTTTGTCTAGCTTGATGAAAGAGAGATTCCTTTCGGTTATTAAACGGCAAATATATAAAATAATTAATAATAAGACATTACTAGTGATTGAATTGGATCTGCATTGGGAATGAAAGTCACCTTTCTCACTTTGAGAAAAAGAGAGAGCTGGGAGTGGGAGTTCAGATTCAGTAAAAAGTATAGCAAACCTTTGTTAGATCCATTTCTAAAGTATAGGGATCTACTATCTAACTCCTCACCATACATTCTTCCCAACATATCTCAATGTCTAATCTCTCATTTCGCCATATCACCACTCTGCAACACTGAAAAAAGTTGAAACAACATTCCCACCATACATTTCACTTTCTTCATCAATTTTATTATCATAAACTGCAAGATTCTACGAATTCTGGAGCCTCTGTAAATAGCTAAACACTGCCAATGGTGAAGTTCAGAGATGACTGTATAAATAAGAGAAACTTGACAGAAGTTAGAGTTGAATAGCTAGCTCATCAGTAGCTCCTAGCTACCCTGTATTCCATTATTGTACCAGGTTTCTTAATTAATCAAATTATTAAAATATACGAGAAAATTCACCAGTTTTTTATTTTTAGTGAAATGACAAATCAATTGAAGTGTTGCTAGTCTTCGTAGGTAAACTTTGCAATATCACTCATAATTGACAATCAATTGGCCGCAACTGTACAGACCTTAATTAACTCACAAATCAATGAATGCTCACATCACTTCACTGATACTGTAGTCATTAACCTTTATTAAACTTTAATTTTAATCAACAGCTATCTAATTAAAGTAGTCCCTGACCCTGATAGTTTGAGTTGGAAGGAACCGATATTTATATATAATTTGAGTACGTACTTTAATTAAATTAAGAAAAAAGTTTGGATAATGCACCGACACATTTATTAGATTTATGAGGTCTCAGTCTCAGCCTTTCAATGATTAATGAACAAGACACTTTTAGTATTGAGATGAAAAAAGGATAAACACATTTGACCAAATTGAGACCTTTTTCTCTAGTCAACAATCCATTCGTCATATGAAAAGTTAATTGATGCCATAGAGAATGGCAGCCATGTGGATAAAGCCATTCTTCAGCAGAGCCGTGCACGGCCAAAAAGAGCAAATAAAAAACGACACATATAGCTACTACCATTAAAACTGTGGCTTTGCATGCCACCCGCAAAGCTTGACTTACACGAAAACACAGGGCTGCAACTGGAACACCTGAATCACTATTCACTATCAGGCGAATTTATGTAATTAAAAGATTAATAATTGGACAATCTGCACAAATTTAGGCTTTGTATTAATGTTGATATATAAATAGAATCAAGGAGGCATGAGGGACAAAGTATAATGGAGTTGAATTGATGATTAAAATCGTCCAAAGGAATCTTGAATATTACTTTTATGTTGCTGGTCTCTTATGCATTTATTCAAAGAGTATCGATTTCACATCATATCATATATAACTTTTTTTAAAATATGATGGAGCATGGACCAACACTGATGATTTTATGATTTGGAAAAACAATTTTCTTTTGAGATTATTAACAAAGTGGCCTAGCTTCAATGATGCACCATTCCTTTCTATAATTTGTTTAATAGTTCATACTTAATTTATTTGTGGATATGACAATCTATATTCACTAAGCCCGCCACTCGTTTCTGGGATCAATATGCATGGGTAATCATCAACCCTTGATGTTGTTATTAAAGGACAGTAGCCATCAAAATGCAAATGCCTAAGCTAGTTGCATATCTTGAATTGATACTTGACCTTAATTTCTAATTAATTAAAGAGGAGTGAAATAGTCAAAACTAATGATAATTTTTCTGAAATATTTCAAAAGATACATATATATTAAACCACCATATGAAAATCATGATTTGGGTTAGTCATTACTTAAAGCAACTTTAAAGTATTACTTTTTGTTTGATAAAGGAAGAAAAGGTTGAAGACCATTGAAATTCATATTCTTGTTTTTGGCTGAACTGAAGGCAAAATAAGGATGATGAAGGGTCACTCACACCGCATTAATCAATTTATAAACAAACATTATTATTTATATTCTCAAACAAACAAACGCATTGACAATTCTCAATTAGTACAAAATCTCCATCCCATTTCTCAGTGGAGAACTCTAATAACATCAATCTCAGAAAACACAAACCAAAGCAACAAAAGATACCATCAATGCCCACATCGTTGCCATCTTAGGTTGGCTAGGCTAACTCTTTCACCTCACCAAAATCATAATAATTAAGTTAAACATAACCCCAAAGAAAAAAAAAAAAAAAAAAAAAAAGGGAAAACAACAAAGTGTTGTGTGTTCTTGTGCATGGAATGCATGCTCAATTCAAAAGTCAACATTTGGGGAGATCAGACGGTGGAGGAGGCAGCTTCTGATTTGGGAGTTTTCCATCCAGGACAATCCAAGCCATCCTTAAGCCCCAGCTCAAGTGGACATCAAAATGGCAGTGCAGAAGCCAAACACCTGAGTGACAGTACATTTCATCATAAAATACATTATAATTAATATGTGTAAGTGTTTTGTTTATTAATGTAGTGGTTAAGCAAAATATACTGACCAGGGTTATCTGCTAGAAAACGAATTGCCACCCAACCACCTGATGGCACACCAAAGGTGTTCCTTTCAACAGGGTCAACGAGATTAAAATTGGCAGGGTCCGTTTTAGGATTGAAGTTACCAGAACCTTGACCAACAACGTAAAAATTGAAGCCATGAAGATGTAGAGGATGGCTTTCAGCACCCAAAATGCTAGTGTCTTGCATCACTACTTCAACCTTTGTATTAAATGGTAGCACCACAGTTTTAGTTGTACCATTTATAACTTTTGTGTTATTTGGTGGTGTTCCTGTATAATTGAATGGATGCAAAGGAACGCTAGGAAAATCAGTTGTATATACCCCATTAGATTTCGCAAAGAAATAGGATTGAAGTAGTGCTGTTGTTGGTAGAGCAAAGGAAATGTTGTTCACTGATGCTGCAAATTTTGTGCCATTAGGACCTTGACATGTTTGATTTTTGGGACAGGGGTTGGTTCCTAGTCCTACTGTGAAGAAAAACTTTTTGTCCACAGTTTGAGGCACATTGGCTGGGAATTGAGCATTTGCCAAACTGCGAAATTTGCTTGTAAAATTGGCAACAAAATTTGTAGCATTGATGGGAGGAAGAGATGGTTTTAAAATTGTACGATTTTTAGTATTTGTGGAAGAAGAGGTTCCATATTCAAGGATGCCAGCTACAGTTGTATTATCAAATGTGCCCATGCCTGTGAAATATGGTCTGGCTAACATATAGAATGTAGCATTTGGGGGATTCGACTCGGTTTTAAGAAGTACATTCAGGGTCTGTCCTGGTGTAATGAGTAAGATATTAGTCTGAAAAGGCTTAACATAAGTTGCATCCGCTCCAACAACAGTCAAACTGTGGTTTGCGATGCTGAAAAAGAGCTCATCGTTGAGTGCAGCATTGATCAAACGAAGAAGATATGTCTTTCCTGGCTTCACTTTTAGCTTGTAGGTGTCTGCAAATTAGTTTCAGCTTGTAAGAAATTAAAAGTTCCATGGCATGTAGCGAGCTATAGGCAAATAATCAAAATGTAAGCTGCACCTTCTGCGGAACAGTTGTACAATGGGCCTGGTAGTCCATTAAAGGTGTAAGCCTCGGAGACATTTGGGCCAGCTCCGGTCTGTAAAGCCTGATTAATTACTGCCTCAGGATCAGCATTAAACCATTCACCTGAATTTTTTTTTTTTTTTTTTTTTTAATCAAAAATAAACACATATGAGTAATACACTAGATTAAATATTACATCATAAAATCTAAAGTACAGATAGGAAAGATGTATGGCAACAGAGTTGATATTACCAAGCATGATGATGACTTGTTTGTCTGGTTTGGGAAATGGGTAAGAAGCATTGTGCCTTGGGAGGATGATAAGGGGTCCATAGACAGTTGCCCTAAGCCATGAGAAATGTGCATGCCAGAAGAGTGTTCCTCTTTGCCCAACAATGGTGAAGTTGTATACATAGCTTTGGCCTGTTTGAATAGGACACTGTGTTATATAAGATGGTCCATCTGCCCATCCACTTTGAAGTTGTCGAACTCCATGCCTGTCACGTTTATATATGTTCACCAATAATTTGTCATTCACCAAGATATGTTAAAGATTAAGACAACTGCAATTATTAATTTCATTTTATTTTATTACCAGTGAATGCTGATGTTATTTGGAACATGATTGACCACTTTAACCACCACACGGTCACCTTCTCTGGCAATAACACGAGGACCAGGAAATTTCCCATTGACTGTCACCATGCTCTTTGTGTGGCACAACCGAGTCACATTTTTCAATTTTATCTGCAAAACAAATCTATTCTCAGGACAAAAATATATAAGTATGATAATTAATAACTAAAAATCAGTGTTAATTTGATACAGACGTTGAAGGTGTAGTGCCTTGTAATGCTGGCATGGTTTGAAGTGGCCACGGCAGCCTCTGGAAAAACCCAAAGACAGACCATAACAAACACAAAACCCATAAGAATATTTGCTGGAGACCCCATGCTTAATTTATGAATCAGCTTGTTGAAAACTTGGAGAGCGAATACAGTGAGGTTGAACTTTAACAGTTTGTATTTAGTTTGCAGTGGTTCAAGAAAGGCGCCAGTGAGTGTGGATTATATAGGCCTGCATGAGATTTTGTTTGGTCGATTAGGTGACGAGAGTGAGTAAGCTAAGTTTGAAGAAGAAGAGAGAGTTACCTACTGCTGGTTCAAGTTCAAAAAAGAGTGCCATTGAAGATTAATTAAGAAATGATCTGTCTCGACTGTCTTTCTTTTACTGTAAACCTTTTGAATTAAGGGTAACACCAGATATGTAACGTTAATATTCAGCTAATAACTAAAGGCAGTTCTTAAAAAATTCAACATTCGTTTAATTAGTCTTAGTGATGAAGATAAATCCTTAATATTTTTCCACAAATAAACCAATGAAAAGCAGTGCTTTATTAAGTCAAATTTACGTTCATGTTGATAACTATCGAGAAAGACAGAGTGGGAGATGTCCTTTCGGTTGGTGACATATAGCATCTGTCCCAACCCTTAAGAATTCAAAAGCCGCGGAGGAGGAGGACATTTGATCCACCTTCCTTTCAAGCAACATAAGAATGATAGAGATTTGGTTGTTTCAATACTTCTCACTGTGTATTAACCAACTAATGATGGATATGAAAGCTTAATCATCAAGTTAATACTTAATTTAACATATTGGAAAACTACTGACCCATCTGGATATCTACAGTATTTTTTTTTTTTTTTGGGTGTAAAAAACAATTACGTAAGTAACAGTTATGATCATGGATGGGCTGAATTTGTAGTTACAACAACTACGATCCTTATAGAGTATCAAATCATCTCTCTACAATGTACTCAAATTAAATTCAAAAGGATATTTGTAGCAACGTACATTTCTATGCTTGTTTCTTAATTAATTTTGCAATATTAAATTCTTGTAAATATATTTAGCAAAATATTTCATGCTAGGATGTTATTTTTCTCAATTTATGTAGCAGATTTTTTTTTTTTTTTTAAATCAATACTATTACTAGAATTTAAAAGGGATACTATCACTTTGTTAAAAAAGGTCATAAATTACATTTTTATCACTCATTGGACAATGTTTATGATTGATCTCTATAAGGGTTGTAATCATAAGTATCCATTTGTGAGTAATTCAGATAATCAGGACGAATTTGAAATAATGTGGATAGGCACACAATCTTAGATTCGATTCCCAATCTGAAGTCGTGACGGCAAGTTACTACGTTAGTCTCTCCAAAAACTTAGTCGAAGTGCGTATAAATGAGTCCATACACCTTAGGTAAAAAGAAAAAAGAAAAAAAAAAGTGTAATCATAATTGTAAATTTGAAATCTTACTTATTTAACAATCAACATTAAACATGGCAGTATACGGTCGCTTTCCTGGACATCCATGTTTGTACATCTTGTATGGATGTGGATGAATATATTAGCAAGAAATATTACGTAATTAATGCATATGATTGTATCAAAGAAAAAAGTTTCTCAATTATAGTGAGTGCTCCCCAAACTTTATCCAGGAATTTGAACAACTATAAATATACTCGAAAAAAACCAAAATTACTACAGAAAATTGCATCACATCAATCCCAAATCATAACAACTGCTATAACACCAACCCCAGTAAGCACAGCAAGAAACTTGAAGAAGGGGGTATCAAAATAGCATTTATCTTGCGGCTTGAACCCTTTAGCGATGAGATGGTTAATGGCAACATATATGAAAATCCCACAAGCAAGTCCCATTGAGATTGCGTAGATCCAATCAGCAACACGTCCTTGAGTTGTGGCATCGATGGCAATTCCTATCCCTACACCGATGGGGCTAGAAACAGCAAAGGCAAACGAGTAAGCCACTGTTAATAAAAATGGCCTCTTTGGTATCATCCTGAGTAGTGCAATTCCCATTGCAATAGCTGCAAAGATCTTGTGTAAGGAAATTGTCCACAAATTCCTCCATGCCTCTGCCTTAGAATCTGAAAACACAAATTTATATTGTCAGAAACGAATATCAAGCTGCCAAACAAAAGATTAAACTACTGATAGTAACTTATGCTCGTATACACATTGAGCTCATTTTAAAGTACATGTATAATTATAAGTACTAATCTATATCATGAAGAAGCAGTATGAATATATGATCAATATATATATAGAGCTTTGTTGTCAGGTTTTGTGATTAACATGCATACGATTTTTAAAGATATACACAGGACTCACACATGCTAATATAATAATGCAAAACGCAGAGTTGTTCTAACGTGTATTTAATTTAGAGGAAAACAGTAATAGAGAATTGAGTAATCCTTGACATACCTGCAACTCCAACAGCGATGCCCTCAAACACTGAATGAAAACAAAGGGCAAGAATGAGAAGCATGGTGTCCCCAAAGGACGTTGTCCTTAAAAAAAAGGGGCTCACATCCTCTTTAGGATCACTAACTATTCTTCCTTCTTCCACTTCCACTTTAGCTTCATTTTCACTTGATCCCTTTGCAACAAAACTGATTATACAATCACCAAGCATCGTCAGAAGATAACCCGCTGATGCCAGCATAAATGCAAAAGGGTATTCTTTAGTTGTGAGATCACGAAAAGTTTCATTTGAATCGCTCAAGAAATGCATCATAGAAGTTCCAAGAAAAACCCCACCGGCAAATTGCGTACCCAAGAGGAGAAAGCTCTCGTTCCATCGATAAAAGTAGGGGGAGACGCCACCAGCGAAAGTGCTTACAAAAAGAATGATCAAGCACCATATTTTAACCAAAATTAAGCCCTTTGCATGCAAATCTGCATGGTCATCATGACCAGCACTATCTTCATCGCCATCGCTCCCTCCATGAGCAGTGGTGAAGGAGAACTGTAGGAGGAGAAGAGAAATGAATAGGATGGTTGACTTGAAGGAAACAATTCGAGAAGCCATGAATGGAGTTGTTGTAGTAGAATTTGTTGATCTGGTTTGGATTAGTTAAGTTGGTTTTATTTAAAGAAAGATTGGATTAGTGTGTTTGCTGCAGTACAGTTTTGACTTTGTGAAGTTGTACTACACCACAGTTAAACCCTGGGTGGCAATAGCTGGGGTGAAGCCTAGTACAACTGTACAAGCCGGCCGAATAATTTTTTTTTTTTTTAAAGCAAAAAAGTCTTAATTTATGAATTAAAAAGGTTGGAGAGAACTTGGGAAATAACTGTTTTATTTAAGATTTTTATTTTTGAAATATAATTATTTTCTTGAAATGTTGTATGTATGATATACCATTAAACGTGTATCAAAATTTTAAAAGCTTCTCGGCAAGATATTTCATAGTACATTTTTGAAGAAAAGATGGCCAATTTAATCACTCAATATAATAAGAATTATGATGAAAACAGTGACGAATAAATGGATAATGACAGCAGAAATTGATAAAAATAAAAAATAAAATAAAAGCCCTTCAATCAAAATCATTTCCTTAGATCTGAAGTCATACTTCTAATCTCAAGTGTTGACTTGCATTTTCTAGCATATACACACTTTTTTTTAATAAAATTATATATATCTCCTAAACAGTTGACATTAAAGCTGATATAATCAAAGTAACCATCCTGACCATATCTTCACAATTATTATTATTAAAAAAATACAAGGCTAAGAAAACTGGGTTCACTAACAATACAGTTCCTTCACTTTTATCCGACCCTGAGGTTCTATATACACATGTTCTACAGCAAAAATTATTTTAGTGCAAGTCAGATGTTATACATATACATATACGAAATACTATATGCATATAAGATGTTTACGTCAAACCATGTCTGAATCGTCTGATTCACTTCCCCTGTTTTCCTGCCATCCAGATCCTGATACCATCCTGAACTTACACACAGGACATGTGCCACGCTGCCGTAGCCATGGATCGATGCAGTTGGCATGGAACTGCAAAATAATAACCCATACAACTTATCATATATTATCCACATCCTCCCTATATGTCAGCCTAACCACCACAAGAACCCAAATCTAGATAAACAAGTCTTAAATGCCAGGCTGAGAATTCTATCATTACATCAAAGAATCTTAGATGGACTTAAATATATTCCTCACCAACTTAAATAAATCAATCTTTAAAGATTTTCAACAGGGCAATTCCGATGGACCTCCCCTAAGATTTGTAAAACTCTCAAATACCTTCTGAGATTCTGATTCAATGATTATTTGTGTGGGTAAGAGTTTAAATTTGGTGCTTCAATGATTATTTGTGCGGGTAAGGGTATAATTTTGGTTGCTTGATTGTGGAGCTGTCGGAAATGGCAGTGGTGGCCTGATTACTGGCAGCATGGTAGTGGCAACAAATGAAATCTGTTGGTGTAAGCCCAAGCATGATCTGACCTTGCAAAATCAGATCGTGGTCGGATCTATAATCTCTTGGCCGGGTCATGGCTGGATCTAGACTCTGCTTGGATTAGATTGTGGCCAGATCTTATGCCAAGGCAGTCAGGAGCCCACTTAGCCTAATTTTTTCTTTTAATAATTTTCGGTATTTAGTATTCATCCAATAATCAACATTGAAGGTTAATTCAATAATGTTGCCCCATCGATTAGGATTGATTGTTTCAAACTTCAATTAAGGGGAAGTATTTGGGACAGTTGTGAAAGGTTAGAGAAGTTGACTGGGATTTTCTATATAAATTTGGATTCAGTCATTACATCCCTAAATCTCATGAGGTCCCAGTTAATTTCCTGTGTCAGAATGAAAATTTTAAGTCCAAAGTGGCAATAATTCTGATGATGGCACAGTTGTCACAGTAGTACACTATTATAGAGATTTTCAGCATCATTACAGGAAAAACTTTGACAAAGTACTAAGGTAAAGAAATGTTGACTTAAAAATATGTTAACTGACAACAACAATGGATAGAGGATGAACCTGATGCAAACAAGGTAGGCTACGGACAAGCTCGCCCCCATTCACTTGCTCTAAGCAAATAGTGCATGTCAGTTCATCTTCTGAAGCCTTCACGCACCCATCTGTTTTTCTAGATTCTTGCTTTGACAGCTTGCAAAATAAAGAAATATTAATATCCAAGAGTGATAGCACAAACAAGCAGTATATCATTAATTAAGTCATTACATTCTGGATAATAAATACCTCAGCTGGGTTAGAGGAAGACAATGGATGTTGTAATGATGAGCCAGCACTGAGACAAACAAATCATGTCAAACCAGTACCATGATTCCAAGGGATTAGAAATAAATTCCTACATGATTTCTTAGCATAACCGACAACCAGAACAAAGCAAAGATAAAAATAAAGAAACTTAAACCTGGGAATAGTCTAACTACTCTTTTATCCCACCAATAATAAGCATAAGTAGTTAGACAAATGACATCATGCAGAAAGAATTGTCTCACAGATATATTATAGTTAAGAAAGGTAGATAACGAAATTCTTTTATCCAAATTCACTGATTGACTTGCACTTTATTAAAAATGAGAAATGCACCCTGTTCTTATTTTCACAACTATAATCAAACGGCAAGTACCATAATATAGGATTACTTCCTAGACACTTGTTCCATTCTCCACCATACACATGGTTAGCTGATGAAATTTTTTATCTTTCCATCATATGGCAAGACAATGCTTACAAAACTAAAGATGTCACCATAACTGAACTATTTTTTATTTAAAAAATAAACTAAAGGCTTGTATTAAAGATGTCTCTATCACTTTAATGGTTAAATTAACCCAACAGTGAGTTTGGACAGAAAAGGCAGCAGCATTAGTTTAAAGCCAAAAGATCCAAAAGCAAACCCCAAATTTACACCATATCCGAAAAAAAAACAATAAAATAAAATTTGCAACTCACCTCTCTCGGCCAGGAACCTTGTATTTGTGAACAGGTAAGGCATTTATCTCTTCCTCACTCATTGAAGGAGTTGTGGAAGTATTATCAGAGTCTAGTGCTCTCAGAGTATCATAATCTACAACAGAGTTTCATAAAGTATTAATCTTCCAAGTATATACAAATAACTCTATCATATAAAACTAGAACCACAATCCAAATTTGCTTTGACATCTGCAATGGTTAGAAACCCAGTTCTGCTCACACTGAAGCAGGGTCCAAGGCAGGTAGTTTTAGAAATGGTACTACTAATGGCATTTTGCATATCAGCTCGGCACACTTGAACCCAGGGCCAAGGGCTTGGATTAATCAGACCATGATTTGTAGCACTACAGTAGACAATGACTCCTGGATATTTGCAAGGGAATCTTAAATTTTCAAGAGTTGACCACACCAATAAAACCATAAAGCTCAGATAAGAATCGACCTAATTCATCAAATTCCCGATCAAGAAGTGCAAGCTGAAGCCTTAGCCCCTGTAATCGTCCTCTGGTTGCAAAAGCAATTGATGGCGGCATGTGGAGTCGCAATTCAGTATGACCAAGCAGGCCACTGGCTGCTGCAGCATGAGCCCTAGCCTGGGCTTGAAGTTGTTGACAAGTGGCATACATCCTTAGGCTTGTGGCCATCAAAAATACACCAACAACTAGCCAGAGCTGCACACATAGACATATTGTGATACCTCCAAAATTGATATGTACTTCAGAAAAACTAGCGCGTCCACATTGATGCTCATAGTACGTACCAGAAAATTTGGTGACATCTGGTGAGAGTTTAAAATCATGAACAGCAAAAGAACTGCTCAATAACCAGGTAATTTCAGAATTAGAATGCACTTTAATCACATTGAAAGCAATAGAATCAAGCATATAGACGAGAAACATTACCTGTGACAAGAAAAGCAAGTGAGTTTATATTAACTGGTCGAGCTGCATGAATACGCTGGAAGGAAGGAGAAAAAATTTAGCACAGTGACAGATAACACCAAGGCTAAGTATCAGAATCTTCCAGAGGTGTGGGACTTTGGAAGAAGATCCACTCCCATTCCATATTCTAAATCATATATAATCTGACTGAGTAATGGGTACAAAGTACACAAGCACACATGAACATACCACTGCAGGTCGTTCAGGTATAAATCCCGGAAATCCACTTTCAATATCTCCTCTAGTCCCCCGAAAAACGAAACTCATGTTTGAGATAGAACAAAAAATTACAGTTAACCTTGTCTTTAAATTGTAACAGGTAGTATGGGAGCAAACTTAGTATATATCACTTCTTTTATAATGTCTTCAGAACCTCAAATCCTGCAAAGTTCCAAATGGATATAAGTTATGACAGCAAAAGTAATCAAATTGTAGCAAGCACAGATAGCCAACACATCATCCATGATTGACTCGAGTTTCTAATACTTCAAGGATCACTTAGGCCTGCAAGAGCATAAGAAATGATTGTCCCCATATATCAATCTGTTTTAAAACAAATGGTGTGCATATGACTAGAATCACAATATGCAACAGCCCACAAAATGAATTATAGATCAAAGGTTAATCCTTACTCAAAATTTACATGGATTAAGCACATCCTCTAAATTCAATAAGGCTTAAGAATTGATAGAATTGATGATCATGACTTGAATCTGACCTCAAATTAAAAATCATAAAAAATATTCCAAAGACACAGCTGCCCACAACTTGGAGTAACATAGAAGATAACTAGGGCCAAACTGAGTCACCATTCCCATGACACAACTTAAAATTAGAAACTCAAGATACACTCATATGTATAATATATATAGAATAGTCATCGTTCATGTGATTATTTTTAAATATTACAATGGAAAATCTTACATGGGAATTATATGGATTCCAACTTGATTATGCAAAGATGCCAACAAAACTGCAAGAAACCTTCAGCTAGAGGAATTGAAAAATTAAAATTTTGCCTATGTGTGTATTTGCAAGTATTGATGTCGTCTCTAATGTACCACAAGATAGGAGCTCTACATTTTAAAAAGGTGGAAACGTACACCAAAAAAGAAAATGGTAGAAATCCATAACTAAACAACTAATTTAACAAATCCATGCTATGAATTTGATCAAAATACATAACTTGCCGACCATTTGACCCACTCACAGAACATATATCATTCAACGATAAATTC